GGAGCAGGGGGCAGATGTGGATGGAGCAGGGGGGGCAGATGTGGACGGAGCAGGGGGGCAGATGTGGACGGAGCAGGGTGGCAGATGTGGATGGAGCAGGGGGCAGATGTGGATGGAGCAGGGGGTGATATGCTTGTGATGTATTAGAACACAGAACAGAACACAGTTGTACTTGAATCTTTCTTGTACAGCTTTGTTCCATTCTATGTTCTAACACAGCAAGTCACCTCTCCTAAACTGTCTGATAACGACCTCCTGGCTGGTGTCAATTCACACAGCCGAAGGAAGCACGGGGAGGGGGGAGAAGATGTGAAAAGGAAAAAAAAATTACAGAGCAGTCAAACCTGCCGTGGGTCTCCCTCTGCAATGTCAGGCGGCAGCTGCTCGCTGGGTCCTCACGCCCGAGGTCCCCAAGCTGCCCTATTAGCGGCCTATGTTGTGTTTGCCACCCAGCCTGTTTGCCCCCTCACCACCACTCAGCGGGTCCCTCACAGCCCTGGGCCCCGGGGCGGCGGCACCGGCTGCACCGCCGGTAGTTTCCCCCCTGGGTAATGTGAATAACATACAATTTATTTTGTGATTTTAATCACAAAAAGGTCTAGAACAATGGACTGAATATTCTTAAAGATTGCATTGTGATTTTTCATTTATATTAGTTAAACATGAACATGAGCCCATACTTCCCATGCAGAGAAAAGTAACAGGTCCAATCTAATTCCCCCCAACCCTAACGTTACATACTCATCTACCTTTTTCTCCCCTGTCACTGGGAATGAAGAGAGGAAGCCCTGTGTAATCTTTAAGTCAATCTAGTCAGAGCTTGCACACAGTGAGAACTCTCTCCACCACCAGGTGACAATGATGGTTCCTGAGTGGCCAGTCACCAAGAACCAGCAACTGTTTGTGTCTAGTCTAAGAGGATACATTTTGCCCAGAGATTTGCTTTGAATGATATTTGAATTTGTTTTTGTTATTACAGATCAGCTATGGCGCAATGAATCCAAGCTTCGATAGTAAGTTCCAGTTTCCCTCATTTTATAGCACAGTCCCTGAAGTGAAGGATCAATTTATAGCCATCATCCTCTTACTGAAGCATTTTGGCTGGAATTGGGTGAGCATTGTGTCTTTAGATAATGAGGAGAGTCAGAAGGTCAATACAGAGCTGAAAACTCTTCTGATACAAAACAAGATTTGTGTTGAGATTGCTGTCACTCTACCTGACAATTATAATATTGAGAGAAGTGAAAAAGCTTATCGCAGCCTTTCACAATTAACTTGCAGCATTGTAATACTGTATGGGAATGCAATTTCTGCCGATCTAATCCATGCCATGAGCGATATTTCAGCCTCAAGGAAGATCTTTATATTGTTTGGAGCTTTCCAGATATATAATAGCCAAAAGTATGTTACTGCTCTTAATGGTTCTCTGCTGGTCCATTTACACAGAGGGAATATTCCGGGACTGAAGGATTATCTTCTTGATATCAACCCTGAGAAATATCCTGATAACTCCATGATTCTCGATGCTTGGATTTATGAATTCTCTTGTGTGCCTGAATCTATTGAGAAAGAGTCTTATGATAAAGCATGCAGAGAGTCTTATAGTTTCCGTTCCGTGGATCCCTCTCGTTATAATGTGGAAAATTTTCGCTACACTTTCAGCATGTACTCTGCAGTTTATGCCCTGGCATACGCCCTACATGATGTATATTTACACAATAAGGTCATTGAGACTAGAACCCAAAATTGCCACCTATGGCAGGTAGAAGGAATATGCTCGGGTAACATAACACAGAATGTGAATTTAAAATAACTTTGTAATCCTATGCTCCTCAGTGCCATCTAGTGGCGTTAGTGCCATGCGGACATTGATGAATGAGTCCCTTAAAGTGTGAGAACCATACAGTGCAGTGATATTCAGAATCTAAGATGGCATGATGATAGGGCAGGTCCGTGACAGCCTGGGCTCAGAGTAAATGGGTTGATCCATCATTCAACTCAGAAGACTGGTAATATCCAGTTGTTTAAAGAAAGTACTGCATGGGAAAGCTCTAGATTAGAGGTATATATTGCAGAAAAATGCATTTTATTTGTAATAATGCTGACCTCTGCATTTTTACATAAAAACTCAAAAAGTAAATATCCTTGAGCTCTCAGACAGATACCAAAATGTGAAATAGAGTTGTGAACAAGAAAGCAACCCGACTGTCCCTGGTCAGATTCTGGAGCATTAATGATTATCATTCTCTGTGTTTTCATTGTTTAAGAATGCATTATTTAATTTTCAATACGCAAGGGGATGGTATAACCCCTGTTATGTTTTTTTTTAATTTTTCTGCCTTTTTTGTTGTAGTCAGCAGATGTCCTTTCACTTCCAGTCTTGTAGACCCAACAGGGAGTAAGAGGAATCCCTCCAAAGGGTGCACACCTCCCATCTTAGATAGTTGTCACTGAAACACGTATACCTATTGGAAGAGTGTAACGCCTGTTTTCTGGTTTGGGGTTTTTTGTGGATCGCAACTGCGGAGGCTTCTCAGGCACGAGTCCCTGGTTTCACTCCCAAACTTAACGGGGAGTTAGGGTTCAAGCATCACAGCCCAAAATTATACACTACAAGGTTTGGTTAGGGTTATTACTTCATTAATCCGATCCCAAACAGCAGTATCAAAATAAGCAATAATGAGTAAAAAAGTCACAGTGCTCCAGGAGAGTATGCAGCTATAGAGTCAGTGTTGATTATCCAGGGGCTGTAAATGGTAGACAGGAGGTGGTCCTGACATGAGGATATACAGTCTATATCGTATGGTGGAGGTGCAGCATGCACGACTACTTGCAGTTTAGGAGTGGTGAAGGAGCTGGGGGTACTGTGGTATACCGTCCAAGGTACAGTAGCTGGCAGCAAAGGGTGGAGGAGCTGATGGGTCCCAGGAGACAACAGGCGTTCAGTCTTCAATAGTGGAACGCCATACTGTCTCACTGGAGCGTTTATATAGGGCTAGGAACTGGGGGAGGAGCCGCTGATAGGAGCGGCGCACTTCTGCGTCCCATGGTGGAACGCATCCGGCCTCCTAACCCGGAAGCGGATGCGTGCGCTCCACCATGGGATGCAGGCGGCCGGCCCCGAGAAGCGGCGGAATCCCGCAAGCCCCGATCCCCTGCCGAGGGCCGACGGCGGTTGCCGTTACAAAGAGTTCCTTTCTATTCCTATTCAGGTCACAACAATCTCAGATTTCCTCCCACTTTCTGTCTTGGTGACCATTGTCAATAGAGATGATCATTTCCCCAGTGAGGACACAGACACCATTAAAACCATGAGAAGGGTTTCTTATCTTTCTCCACTTCATCCAAAACTAAAAAGGTTTTGGTTTTAGGTTCACTGGAACCCCTAAATATACATACTTTTGCCCTTGTTAAGAGTCCATCTACTTCCTAGTGATTCCAGATATGTAGTTTTCAGGATTGGTGGTTTGGCACTGTTCAACTATAGCCCTGGTATTCAACCTGTAGCCAGAGGGACAAATGGTACCAAACTGTTCAACTGTTCAACTATAGCCCTGGTATTCAACCTGTAGCCAGAGGGACAAATGGTACCAAAAGTACCATTTGGTACTTGTAGAGTGGTCTTTAAACTCCAGCAATCTGCAGAGGGAGTGGGACTATAGGCTTGTAATGGGCTAGTCAAAGTAATCTCTACTAGCCTCATATAACACGTCTACAGTCTCTCTCTGTCTTCTAAATCATTTCTCTATTCTTCAAACAAACCTGTAGCTTTTCCACAGTCTCTGACCAGCATTTCCTCGAAGTTGTCTTCACTCTCTGACAGTCCAGCTTTACATACAGTATACTGAACATTATGTGCAGCCTTTTGGTTACAGCTCAGGCCGTCTAAATCTTGCAAGTAAGCAACCATTGCACTTTGCATTCAGACCGGCACTTTTTGAGTGCAGAAGCTTCAGATGCTGGATGACGTACTAACAAAAATGAGGAGAAGGATCTACCACCAAACCTATGTGATCACACCACTAAAACACAATAATAACTTCTGAGATTTAAACAAAATGGTGTAATATGTTCAGGTTTCATTGCCATATATATCCCAACATAACAGACACAGTTCCGAGTCCAGTGTGACTATTATGGGATTGTGTAGAGATGTCACAAGCACACCAAAATCCTTTTAGGAAAACAAAATGTTCATATATTGTCATGCATTTAGCCCTGTACATATTGTCTGTTTTGGCAAATAGCTGTTCTGCACTCTCGATTCTTTGAATTACTGCAACCCTTAATACAGTGTTACATGCATGTATTTTTTTTCACTCTTTTCATTGAATTGCTATTCCACGGAGGTACCGAGCAGAATAGCCGAGCTGAATGCCGCTCGGCGGCATTCGGCTTTTCACTCACTGCCATTCAAACCCTACGTGAATAGGGGCGAACGGCAGCAGGAGAGCTGCCAGAGCTTCGGCTCAGCCGATCCAGATGTTGCATCGGCTGAGTTGAAGTCCTTCTGCACTTCGGATCAAGCCTGAAGTGAGTAGCCAAACTGCGTTTGGCTCACTTCACTTCAGCTGGGCTATTCACTCAGCTGCCTTCGGAAGCTTTGCAAATAACCCCTTTAGTTTTAAAATGTGCTCAGCACTAAGAATGAAGTTGGGGTTCACCACTGCCATGGGTTAGAGGTTCTGGCAAATTTATTTGCAGATTCACCCAGGAGAATCTTTTCAAAAACATAATGTACTGCATGACACTGAATATCTAGCAGGCTTAAAATGGTCAATAGGGGGCTTTTTTAAATAAGCCAACCCCCTAACTATAAAAGGGGGGTGCTCGGGGCATCCATTTTGTTAGTGTATTGGTAGCTGCTGTAGGGACAGCTAACAAACTGCAAAGGGAAAGATTAGGGTGAGTTAGGAAAACGTACTTTAATTTACTTTGTTTAATGACTTTGCTATAATTAACCAAAGGAAAATTAAAGGAAAAGAAAAAAAAGATTGGAAAAAAGAAAAGTAGTGGAGAGGAGACGGTAGATGAGGAAGGGAGTAGAAGATCTGAATTTGTGTCTATTCATATTTTCAGATGAACAGGTATCTGAGGAGAGCGCACATCACAACTAAAGGAGGAGAGGAGATACAGTTTAATGATGGAAAAGTCTCACCCAGGTTTGATCTATTAAACATCGTATTTACACCTAATAAATCCTTATCAATGATTACTGTTGGATCTTTTTACAATTACGGGAAAGAAGTGAAACTCCAACTTAATGAGAGTGCAATTCAGTGGAGTCCACAATTCTCTCAGGTATCCAGAAATTTTCCTTTAAATGCCTTTTTTTAATATTAAGAATGTTGAGCCTAACTTGTGTTGTATCATCTTTTATGTGGGCTAAGGACCTATATATCTGGAGCTAGCAAAAAGTAATGCCTGTTGAGATAAAGGATATTTAATTACGCAGAGATGGAAACAATGAACATACATAGAGTCAGACTATAAACTCCTCTACTTAGAGTTACCCTTCCACATTGTCCCCATCACATTCAATGCATTTGCACCATCATGCTACTCAGACCTCTAATCTAGTTTGGATAAAATCCACAGAGCACTCTTTTTTTCTCTTCCTGATGGCTTCCTCCAGCTTTCAAAGTGTACCAATGTAGGTTTGACTGTTGACTGTTGTGCCTGCTGTCCAAAAGGTCCATGACAATGATAGCTTGGTCATCACAGAACACGTTCAACATGACTTTTTGCTCTGTTCTGGCAGATTTGTATTTCTTTGGACGAGGAGATCTCGAACGCCACCATTCAAAGCCTTGTCAACAATTTCAGTTTCTCTCTTTTTAAACTTTTTTACCCAACACCTATCATTGCTCACGTCAATTACTACATCACCATATGCTTTGTTCAGGCGTGTATGGATCTCATCACCCTCACAACCCTCTTTTGTCAGAAATTCAATTACTATGCTTCTGTTTCAACCTTTCATCCATGATTCACTTGGTACAATGTAAAAATACAGAAGCACACAATGATTGGGTTAGACCATATGTATGAAATACTGTATATCAGGAATTTTATTTTAAGTTCACATAAACAGCAGATCCAAAACAACAAGCATTACTTTTTTTTAAACCCCCCTTGTATATATAAATATGTAAAAAACTGTTAAGATCCTATTGAAGTCTACGGGGAAAGGGAAATAATTTGTGCTAGACATTTTGAACCATTTTTAGGGCTAATAAAAGCAGCAGCAGCACTCCAATTTAATTAATTTCAGGTTGATATAATTTAGGTAGCTTCAGCAGTGACACATTTGTTTTCCTCAAACAGTAATAGGTCCGCACTGACCAGCAGATTCACATTCTCCGGTAGTTTGCTGAAGCGGTCCCTATTCTTGCTGATGCAAAACTGTCCATCCACTGGCCAATTTCTACCAAACGCACATTAATAATGAAGAGACTCAAGATGATACAGCATTGTAAAATTGGCCAGCAGCAGGACATTTTTTATGTGGGAGATTTAGCCAAAATGTATTAGGGACAGAGAGTAGAGGCGGATCCTAAAATACTACTATTAGGAGTCCACAGATGACACAAGGCTAGGCCCAAAAAAGCACTGACTTTAGGAATTAAAATATGCCAAAAATACAGCAACATTATAATGTAGAAAAAAATGGGGCATTTAACGCAGTACTGAGGAAAGAAGCATTACACAATATTCTTATGAAAAAAACAAAATCAAAAGCAATTTTGTTGTTTTTACAAAACATTAAAAACACATTAAAAACGTGTTATACATTTCTTTGCATCATGAGTTGTTGATATACACATATGAAATATCACCGAAAAGTGGTGAAATCTTTCCCACAGTCATACTGCAGAGGATAGCTGCAGTGCGAAAGTGGCCAGCAGCCAGACAGGTTTAATCAGGGATAATAGGCCTAACTGGTGTATGCCTAACTTTTATTTTAGTTATGGGGATAGCTGTGTGTGTAGGCATTTGAGGTGGTTTTGGTGAACATTGTTTTTACACTTTTTCTCAAACGATGCACCAATGTGTTGCAATAAAAAGGCAGCTCCACACTGGAGCTGTGGCATACATGCTGTTCACGTCTGTCTAAGGGCCTACTAAACATATCCTTGATAGGAGCTAACTATAAAGTTTTCTCCCGCTGGTATATGGTGCCATCAAGACTGTCAGCTATATACCCGGATCAGTCGCCCCTATGTTTCAGAGGATGTGGACTTACCGGAACTATGTTGCACACTTGGTGGGAATGTCCACGCCTCCGCCCATACTGGAATATACTTTATGCCTTGATATATAAAGTCCTACAGATCCGACCACTTCGTGACCCACAGTATGTTTTATTAAATCGCCCAGTCCCTAGCCTATCCAAACCTGAAGCCAAATTACTGTCATTCTTCTTTTTGGCTGCGAAAATCTCCTTGTCACAGGCTTGGAAATCCCAGACAGTTCTGTTCAAACACGTTGTTTCTAAATTGTAGTGGATAATGGTGCACGAAAAACTAAGTTTCATCCTCGGGGATACCCAAAGTAAATTTGAGCGGGTATGGGAACCATGGATGCAATACCTCCACATTTCTGAGTCTCCTTAGCCGAGGGTCACTATTGCAAAATGGATCCCCATTGCTGTGTCTCGGATACCTCCCTGATATTTTTCTATTCTTCTCCTTTCTTCTATTTTCACCCTCCCCCCCTCCTTGATCTCTTAATAGTGTGTATTTTTTTTGTTTTGTTTTTTGTCTATTTTTTTTTTGCAGCCATTAGTTGATATGTACCGTTGTTTTATCCCTTTTGCGTGAGCATTGAATGTACCTGATATGCCTTAAGCACTATCACCATAAGTTCATCTGACTTACATGATTTTGTAACAGTGATTATCCTTCAAGATTCTATGTCTACTTTGTTTTGTTGTTTTACCCAAAAACCTTAATAAAAGAAATTTGTGAGAAAAAAAAGGCAGCTCCATTAGCAGATGGTCAGTAACAATTGAATTAAAACATAAGGCCTTATCAATATACCTTATTGTAAAGCGCTGTGCAAACTATTGGCGCTATATAAATCCTGTATAATAATAATAATATACAATAGAAAAAAACAAACAAACAGAAAGAAATGAAAACCCCAAAATACCACACTGAAAAAAAAAACTTTTTTAAACAGAAGTCTTGCTGCAAACAAAAGCAGTTTTCCCTAAAATAAAGGTTCTGCCAACATTAAATAACAACCTATATAAAAACCTTCTTATAAAAAAGAAGGTAATCTGTCAATGATCTAGCAATCAGAATTAATGTCCAGTTCAGTAATGAGCCCTAATCTCTGCCTATGCAGTTTATCATATGCACCAAGTAGAAAACAGGGGTTTAGAGAAGAGGTATACAGACACTGCATGGATACATCTAGATAAAAAAAATATAAAGTTTATTGCACACTGAATACCTAATATAAAAACATAGATGTAACAATTCATCTACCACTGGTACCATTCTTATTGACAAGAACAATTATGCCATACATAGTAACATTACCCCATAATACAGGTTATATAATTGATACCACATCTATCATTGATGACCCTTTACATTTAAAGTAATCTCTAAAAGATCAGCCGCACAAAACCAGAGTACGTAAAATCCAAAGTTTTATTGAAGTAGATCCAAATTCCAAGAAAAGAAATCCAAAGTATGATATCCAATATGTACATCACTGTCAGTCTCCCCCACACCAACGCCTCTCATGTACATATTGCATATCATACTTTGGATTTCTTTTCTTGGAATTTGGATCTACTTCAATAAAACTTTGGATTTTACGTACTCTGGTTTTGTGCGGCTGATCTTTTGGAGATTACTTTAAATCATGTGTAACAAAGGGAGGAGAATAACGGACACTTAGAGAGTAATGAGCATTAGAAAATGTTTATAAACAAGCAATAGAATGATTGACAGTATAAATGCATACTAGAAACATGTGGTCTTCACTTGTAGGTTTAACGCTTTCCAAAAGGTTCTTTATACATTTAGTCAATCTTGGTGTCCATTGGTGATCATTATTAAAAGAAAATCTTAAATATTAATCAAAATATATTATAGTAACTGGATTTTGTCTTCAGACTCCACGTTCTCTGTGCTCCGAGAGCTGCCTCCCCGGATACCAAAAACTTCAACATAAAGGAGGACAACCATGCTGTCACCACTGTGTACCCTGCCCGGAGAATGAGATCACCAATAAGAATGGTTGGTACCTTTTAATGATCTGCTGATATTGGCTGGATTGGGTGATACGGAGTGGGTGAGTCAGCGGCAGATAGCGCCGCACAAGAGGCATTGCAGCAAGATATATATTTTTTTTACTTTTTTCATGCTGCTTGGGGACTATTAAAAAATACCCGTCCAAAATCGGCCTTTAAGTTTTAGGATTAAAGTTACGTTTTAAAAGGAGATGAACTGGTTGTAAAAGCAGAAAAAATATGATTTGTTTTTATTTTTTATTCTCCTGAATTAATGCCGGAATATACAATATATCCATCTTGAAGAGAATGATATAATTCTGATGGCCTGGGTTCTTCATTTGTGTTATTTTCCTTAAATGAGAAAGGTCTCCACAGAAATGTTTATGGCCATCAAATCAGCGATTCCTCCTGATTTGGTCATCACTAGTCACCAGTTCCTTGGCTGTTAGTCATCTCCTCCTCTTCAATTCATTCTTGGTTTACATCTCTGTCGATCACATGATGCAATAAATCATTGACCCTAGCTCTATGCAAGCTATATATAACGCAATATCAGACTTCAAGTTATGACTTGTTCTTCTCTAATCCCTCATTGTGTCTTTGAAATGATAGTGATATCAGATAAATGTACACCTCCTGAAACTGTGCTCAAATCATGAGAACTTATTTGTTTCACTTTCAGACATGGAAAGGTGTTATAAGTGTCCAGAGGATCAATGGCCCAATGAGAGAAGAGACAGCTGTATACAAAGAACAATTGATTTCCTGTCTTATGGAGATACATTGGGAACTTCTCTTATGTTTATGGCTCTATTATTCTGTTTTGGAACTATTATCACGTTTGGGATGTTTGTGAAACACAAAGACACTCCAATAGTAAAAGCCAATAACCGGACCCTCAGCTTCATCCTTCTCATCTCACTGATCCTGTCCTTTCTTTGTCCTCTGCTCTTCATCGGACGCCCCACAAAGATCTCCTGTCTTCTCCAACAAGCTGTTTTTGGGACAATTTTCTCTGTTGCAGTTTCTTCGGTTTTGGCTAAAACAGTTACTGTTGTTTTGGCTTTTAATGTCACCAGACCTAACAGTATTAACAAGTGGATGATGAAACAATTCTCTGTTTTCCTCCTGATTATCTGCTCTTCTGGGCAGCTTGTGATCTGTATCTTCTGGTTTGTTTCATTTCGTTCTTGGTTTAAGTTAAATGTCCCATTACATCTATTACGCGGATAAAACTAGGCTAACACATCAGCAGCTGGATTTGACATCGGCTGGGCAGCATGCTTATTTACATCATCATATCCATTATACCCTTTCATTTTCCTGAGAGCCCAAGTGCCACCTTTATCAACCTTCTAAGCGGTGATGAAGGGACCTCTCCTGTCTCCTGAAATGTGTTGACTAAGGCTACATGTATGAAACATTTTGACTGTTTTAGTTGAATAAACCTGATATCTAAACTCCTGTTTTGGGTTTAGCGCTACTGTTTTGGGTTTTCCAGTTTAATTCTTAGAACTTTCAGTAAACATGAGCTGCCTGACTCCTGCCCATTGCATCTTATTACACTAAATTACACATGAACCTGTGGGGGTGAAGTCTAAAATTTGGATCAAGCGCCATCAACTTACCTTTTTCTACAGCTACAATAAACAAAGACTACTTTTTGTCATTATTTAACTGAAGACATTCATCGGATCCATTGTGATACTGATGTAACACAATGTATCGCTCTGCTTTAGATCTTCAAATCATCTCTGAATTGGTGCCGACACTGTCCTTCCTTCTGTTCCCCTGATAAACTACAATCTCACAGTTAGTTTACTCAATTGTATTGAGATTGTAGTCTATCACGGGAGTGATCTTGGAGCGGTGGCTAGTTTACAACACACACAGGGACCATGGTGAACAAAAGTAGCCCCCCTCCAGAAGGAAGGACAGTGTCAGCACCAATTCAGAGATGATTTGAGGATCTACAGCCGAGTTATACACAAATAAGATACATTTTTGTTAATCGTTAAGGCACTTGAATGTATTTTTAAGGTTCGACTCCTGAGTGTCACTTTAAGTAACAACAGTAAGCTACAAGTGCTTACTTGTAGCTTAAATTTTATTTAAAGGTTCACAAAACCCTACTTTTGAGATTCCCTGCCTACCTGCCCTAGGTGCTGATACTCAGCTGATTAACAGGGACAATGATCTTAAAAAAAGTACTAGAACAAGAAGAAACCGAAGAGCACAAGAACTGGAAATGTTTCTAGAATTCATCAAATTTTGAATGCTAGACACCTCCCTGCAAACTATCCTGACTCTCCGAACTCTGTCCCTATTACTTTAAGGTGTGCAACCTAACTCTATATATATAGTCCATAAGCATTTAGCACTGGTGCAATAAAAATAACCTCCATGCTCCGCAAAAATGTTGCTATAGGAGTTTTGTCTAATGCTAAATTTCCCACAAAAGGGAGGGAGGACATACAAGGATGCATGATGAAATCCACAAAGTGTCACCACTACCTGACACAACCTCAACCTTTTCTAGCCATTCGATAACAAAAAGGTTGAAACTTGTCCGAAATAAAATCAATTATTCCTCCTGATTTGGTCATCACTAGTCACCAGTTCCTTGGCTGTTAGTCATCTCCTCCTCTTCAATTCATTCTTGGTTTACATCTCTGTCGATCACATGATGCAATAAATCATTGACCCTAGCTCTATGCAAGCTATATATAACGCAATATCAGACTTCAAGTTATGACTTGTTCTTCTCTAATCCCTCATTGTGTCTTTGAAATGATAGTGATATCAGATAAATGTACACCTCCTGAAACTGTGCTCAAATCATGAGAACTTATTTGTTTCACTTTCAGACATGGAAAGGTGTTATAAGTGTCCAGAGGATCAATGGCCCAATGAGAGAAGAGACAGCTGTATACAAAGAACAATTGATTTCCTGTCTTATGGAGATACATTGGGAACTTCTCTTATGTTTATGGCTCTATTATTCTGTTTTGGAACTATTATCATGTTTGGGATATTTGTGAAACACAAAGACACTCCAATAGTAAAAGCCAATAACCGGACCCTCAGCTTCATCCTTCTCATCTCACTGATCCTGTCCTTTCTTTGTCCTCTGCTCTTCATCGGACGTCCCACAAAGATCTCCTGTCTTCTCCGACAAGCTGTTTTTGGGGCAATTTTCTCTGTTGCAGTTTCTTCGGTTTTGGCTAAAACAGTTACTGTTGTTTTGGCTTTTAATGTCACCAGACCTAACAGTATTAACAAGTGGATGAAAAAACAATTCTCTGTTTTCCTCCTGATTATCTGCTCTTCTGGGCAGCTTGTGATCTGTGTCTTCTGGTTTGTCTTTTCCCCACCATTCCCAGAGTATGACACCAAAGTGGAGGTGGGGAAGATGATATTACAGTGTAACGAGGGCTCTGTCACTGCTTTCTACATTGTGATTGGCTACACGGGATGTCTTGCTGTGTTCAGCTTTATTGTAGCATTTTTAGCCAGGAAACTTCCAGACACGTTCAATGAAGCTCAGTACATCACATTCAGCATGCTGGTCTTCTGCAGTGTTTGGCTCTCCTTCATCTCAGCCTACCTCAGCACCAAAGGGAAATACATGGTGGCTGTGGAGGTCTTCGCCATCTTGTCCTCCGGTGCTGGACTCCTGGGCTGCATCTTCCTTCCCAAATGTTACATCATTCTGATGAGACCGGAGCTGAATGTGAAGGCGACTGTAGCCCACAAAAAAACCTTTCGGTAAAAATATAAAATACTTATTGCCATAAAAGGTAATGTTGTAAATAGATAAATGACAATGTTTAGTAAAATAAAATGCTTGCCTTGAGAATGTTAAGTGTTCTTTGTTACAAGCAGTAACTGTGATATGTTGTCAATTACAAATAAAATAAAAACAACAACTGAGATAAAATATAATTACAGACAAGAGAAGACTCCAGTCATGCAAGGTGACATAGGATCAATATAAGAGCAGTGGCT